TTTCCCTTACGCCAGCCCCTGCTGAAGTGAATCAGCTCCTTTCCTGCTGTCAGTGCCAGATTAAAGCATTGGGAACCAACATGCTGTCTTTCTAAGCAAAGTCTGTTAATTACGTTCTTTTGTCTGCCTTATCAAGCCCTTGTCTCTGCTACAGCAATTCTGTGTGTGCAGCTCTGCTGGCAAAGCCCGCTCGGGCAGGCTGAGCAGAAGAGGTTTCTGCCAGTGTTTTTTTTTGCTGTCACAGCAAACATAAGCAAAGCTGAGAAAAACTACCTTCTGTTAACTGAGAAAAGTGTTCAGCGGAGGGAATGTGAACATTTTACGCCCTGAACTGGCACAGTTGTCCTGGTACGCAGTGTGTCCCTGCCTGTCCTTTATACTATCTTTGTAGTATAAACTGTATTTTGTCTTTGAGAAAGATCTCATTATCTGCCTCGTATTTGTACAGTGCTTAGCACAATGTAGGCTGCTCCTTAAGTACTTACCAATGCAACCGTGACTAGTCATTTGCCCTTGCTGAAGGGTTCAGTATGGTTTGTCACTGTCACTCTTATGAAGCAAATACTTAAATTTCTTAATCCATTATGCTCAGTGATGGACTGCTGCTCCTTACGGGATGCTGGTGGAGGCTGAACTGCTTTGTACTTCTGTAGTCTTTAAGTACGTAGAAAGTGAGTAAAATATTATGGGTTCTGAAAAGGAGAAATTTAGATTGGCTTAGCGTACAGTATACCAGGCAGGACTCTACAGAGAGAGAGAGACATACTTTTGCTTTTTATATACAGCAGATATGTATATTTATTTGTATGTGAGTGTATATTTGTGGGTACAGACTTTTTTTCAGAAGGCTGGATTGCTTTCTGGATTGCTCTGCGAGGTATGGCTGCGGGGAGGGATGGCAGGGGAAGCGATCTGCAGAGCCCCATGCCTTGCCCTGTAGCATGGGAGAGGAGTTCTGCCCTCTCGCAGAGCCCAAGCTCTCGCTGCAGCATGCCAGTCTGTCCCAGCACAGAGCTGGTCCCAGGGCTGCGTGCTCCACCCTGGTGCTGTCTCCATGGGCCTGTCAAGTGCCCCATGGTGGGGCAGAGCCGGGGCTCAGAGTGCTCCTGGCCCCGCTGGAACTTGTTTTGAATTAGGCTCCCTGACTAGAAGCCCAGGTCCAACCTTAGTGGTCGTGTATTGTGGTTCCCAGATTGCCTCTGCGCTGCCACAGTGCCTCACCCGGTAGGCTCAGTGGTGGGTCCTACATGCAAAGAGATGGGGCTCTACGTCTGTTTTCTTGCAAGGGGATGGTGGTGATGGCAGCAGCCTGGCCGGGCTCTGGGCTGGCCCGTGCCTGGTGCAGGAGGGGATGCATAACTGTTCTGCCAGCATTGCTCCAGAGCTTTTCCTTGTCTTCTCTTGGGAAATGGATGTATGGGACCATCACTTGGGCTGCCGTTTTATGGAACTATTTTCCAGCTCCTTTCTAAGCTTAATAAATTTTATGAGTCATACAGCTCTCGGAAGCTGGGATATGTAACTGTGCTGTCTGGAAAAGGAAAGTAAGAGACTTCCTGAAGCACAGCGGGTTGCTGTCTAATGGCATCCTAGGAAAGCCAGGCAGCATCCAGCTGCACTGTGCACTGGAGGACAGAGCAGCGATGTTCCTGATTGCAGACCATGTGGCTTGGACAGCAGATCCTGCATGGAAATGTGTGCCCAGGTGTGAGGAAAAGAATGCCTGGGTGGGAGGAGGCAGCGTGAGCAGAGGAGAGTGCAGCACATGCACAGTCTCTGCTCCCATTGCGAGAGCAGCGCTGAGGGCTGGCTCTGTGCCCTGACGGCTACTGCCACCAGGTGCCTGCGTGTCCCTCAGGTGGGTGTGGGAAGCTGGAGGAGCAGGTTTCCTGCCTTCCTGACAGGTGTGCTGCACTGGAGGTGGTGATGGGCTTGGCGGGGTGGGTGCTGCAGCCCTTTCTTAGCCAACTGCAGTCACCCTGCGCTTCTGGAAGTGCTTCCTCTGAACTGGCGTCCTTCCCATTGAGAGCATTTTGCTAGACTTCACTAAGCACAGCAGCTTTGCACGTTGCTGTGACTCTGTTTTGAGGATACTGGATGTTTTAATAAACCAGGACGGAGTAGCTTAGGTTGTAGAAATAATTCAGTACTCTTCTGCTGATTCTTTAAACTGACAGCAAGATGTGGTGCTCTGACGGCCAGTGAAATGGCAAAACTGTTCTCCTGAGAAAGCGAATCTGAATTATTTCCACCATCACAGCAGGGTGTATTGCATAGGGCTGGAACATACCATGACCTGTCGAAGTGAATGACTGAAAGCAGGAAGTCGTTCAGCTTGTTTTCATGCATGTGAAGTGAGGGGATGGGAAACGAAGAAAGATGGCTGTATGCTCTTGACACCCTTGTTGCACTCTATTAAATAAGGCATCTTTCTGCTTTTTCAGCACATCCAAATTTTTTTTTTTTTTTTTTTAACTTCTGGACCCAAAGCAACAGATTTATTGAGGATATATAGCCATAGCATTCTCAGCTGGAGAGGGACTGTTTACAAGGGCATGTAGTGATGATAGGACAAGGCGTCATGACTTTAAACTGAAGGACGGTAGATTTAGATGTTAGGAAGAAATTCTTCATGATGAGGATGGTGAGGCAGTGGAACAGGTTGCCCAGAGGGGTTGAGGATGCCCCATCCCTGGCAGTGTTCAAGGCCAGGTTGGATGGGGCTTTGGGCAACGTGGTCTAGTGGAGGGTGTCCCTGCCCATGGCAGGGGGGTTGAAACTTAGATGATCTTTGAGGTCCCTTCCAACCCAAACCATTCTATGATGCTGTGATGTTTCTGTTCAGGAGATAAAAATATGGCTCTGCAGCTATTCAACTCTGATTTCTTGTGACAAGTTTTAATAGTATCAAATCTAATTAAAGTGGACATTTAAGAAAAACTGTTATGAATTTTGGGGAAAACCAGATATTTGCCAGGAAATAGGGTTCAGTGGGCAGTTCAGCGCTCTCCTTTTCTGATTTGTTAGCCAGTATTTGGCAATGACTAGCAGCTGTCGAGGCAGGAGGAGGTAAGTGAAGGTAGAGGAGATCTATGTCAGCTAACTCATGTCATGTAAGATGGGCCTTTGACAGCCTTCCTTCTGAAGAGCAATGTTATAAAGCCAAGGTGATAGATAAAGGCAATATTGGAGTTTTACATACTTTTTATAAAATATTTTTCTTCTCAAATTGGCACTTCAGAGAGACACTGAAAGCAGTAGCTTAATTGATCTCCTGGCAGCCAGCAGATGAATATTATAAAGCAAATGTACTTACTTAGTTGCTGGCTTTCGGTGTCTTCTTTCCCCGCCCTGTAACACTTTCCCACATTAACTTGTAAGGGTCCAAGAAGAAATAAGATTAAAAGGGAGCATGGAAAAGGTTAACATGACTCTGCTGTCATCTACCACCATTCTTGTACAGGGTGTCTCCACCCCCAAAGAAAATGAATATTAGAAATGTATGATTTAGGGTAGTCCTGAGTTTCACACTTTGCTTCTTTTTCCAAGGTAAAGAAAATTATTAATTTGTTTCAATATATATTACACCTTTTGATCTACTAGTCTGTAGAAAAGCAGCAGCTTCTTACACAGGACTCAATTCCAAGTCCTTTTTTGTTTTGTCTTTTCTAAAACTGAGAGAATTTGTTCAAATAGCATTTTTCAGAAAAGCCGCAGTTTCTTCTTCCTTTGGATGCAGCCAAACCGAAGCATTCTTTCTCAAATGACTCCTCAAACTTGCCAAGTTTTCTTTGCCATCTTTGCGTGTTAACACATCTACCCTAACATGAGCCAGGATGCGCTGATTTGGTTTCTCAGTACTAGGCTGCTGATACACAGGACCATAGAGATGGGGAGAAAAAAGCACACTGAAGAAGGGAAGGGTTCCTTCCTGATCACTGTCACAGTCCCCTAGCTTTCATTTACTACATTTAGTACCAAATAAGAATGAACTGAAAGATAAAAAGGAAAAAAAAAAAAAAGGTTCTGCTTAAACACTATTTTTGTTACTGCTTTTGTTTCTTCTGCAGAGTGGGAAGCCCCCAGTTAAGGACATGTTCACAGATCTGAAAGATGGAAGGAAGCTTTTGGACCTTTTGGAGGGTCTGACGGGGAAACCTCTGGTAAGAGAAATGTATATGAGTCCTATTCCCATTTATTAAAAAAAATTATGAACAAAACAACAAATATAGAAAACACACAAAAACTGTGGCATGTGATTTTTTTTTTAATTTTATTTTAATTTATTTAAAAACCTATTTTGCTTGTAGTGTGTACTTCCTCTCTACAGTTCCAGTGAAATTCCCATGGGTGGCAGCCATGATCCATGATATAGGGTCAGGCTGAAGTTAGCTGTGTAACACTCTCTTGAGGGTTAATGTATTGTTTAGCAAAGCAGGTAAGAACAGTGGTGTTATTCGCATAGTGTATATTTTTAATTGAGATCTTTTAGAGATCTGCTTCTGGGCAGATCTGCTTAAAACCCAGCCTTTAGCTGGATACCTGTGAACTTTTTCTAATAAGCTTATGAAAGATCCCTTACAGAAAAAAGAAAGAAAAAGAGAAAAAAAGACAATGGCTAGTAGGCAATGCAAAAATCTTTGTCTCTGTTGAAAAATCCTTTGTGATCTACAGATAGGAAAGGGCTGAAAACTACTCAAATCTTGTTTGGGAAAGTGTGTTTGGGATTGAAACTGTTCCCCTGCTAACATTGATGCCTCTTCAGAAAGACACTTGAGGCATGGTGAAACCTGTGCCATCACTTGGGATTAGATTCTTGATTTTGCTATTTATAATAAATCTCAAATTCATTTATTGACCTTATGAGGAACCTTCAGCCATTTAAAATTTCACCTTGCAAGCTTGCCTTGTTTTTTAGACAGATGCATTTCACTAGTACTTCTAATGATTTATGGTCTGATTTGAAGTGTACTGAAGACAATGGGAGATTTTTGGTTTCTAATTCTGTTGATTACCATGTTCCAAGTTCAGCTTGATGCTCTTGCAGTACGATCATGTTCTGCCACAGTGATTAAAAGCAAATAGAGAGGCAGGTATTGTCAAGAGTCACAGTGGTTTTTTTCCTCCTTGATATTACAAGGAAGGAAAAAGTCAGGAAGTATAACTTCTTCCCAGTATGCAAAGATTTAGCAGGCTTTTGGTGCCAGAAAAAGAAATTGCTGTTTGTTCCCTCTTGGGAGCCAAAAAATTTCAACTACTCTGGCAAATGTTCAAACCCCTCAGATTTTCCCCGGGAACTCCCACTTTGCTGTTGTATTGCCAGTGGATAATTCTGCAGATGCTGGGAATAAAAATTCTGGACTTAGCAAAGATGAACTGAAACACATTTTGAATCCAGGGATTGTCCTGTGCCTTGAATTGAGGAATAATGTTCATCCACAACAATTTCAAAATGAAAACTGCTCAGAACATGTTTGGGTTTTGTTCTTAAAAAAAAAAAAAATGGGAAAGAAAATCAGTAGAAAATTAAGCAAAATTTCCTGTTGTTTGCACTGTCATTTATTTTGTTTGATCTGTGAAGTTAATTCTGATGTGAACAGATTGTAACTTTTTATTTTCAGCCTAAAGAACGAGGTTCCACACGAGTACACGCCTTAAATAATGTCAACCGAGTACTGCAAGTCTTGCATCAGAACAACGTGAGCATTGTTTTCCAGAACTTTTTGATAGACTCTTTAATTTATTCCTGTGTGTAAATGAGTTCAAAATGCAGAGAATAAAGATTTTTGGTACCTAAACTGAGAATTCAGCGAGATGGGTAAATTGTTCTTAGTTTTCCTTATCTGATGTAGAATTTCAGTGTCTGGCAATTTTGTGAAATTTTAAAATGCTAACTTAATAACGGTATGTATTAAACTGTGTTTTGTTGAGATGTGTTCAGCTCCCAAAACAAAGGTGACTAGAAGCTCTGCTATGCACAGCTCATGAACCTCGCAGGACATAAAACTAATTTCCAGTAATGATGCATAACTTGTGCAAAAATCTGTAAGGGTATGACAGGTTTTGTGTCTCTGTTTTTTGTGTCCTGCTCTCAAAATCCAGGAGTATCTTTCCATTGACACCTGTCAGCTTTGTGTCAAATCTGTACTGAGTGTTTCTAATTTGGAGCTTTCATAGCTGATCAGAAGAACAAACAACCAACCCCCAAACCTTCTTTAAGAAAAATGAGAATAAAAATTGCTTGTTTTATTTTGATTTTATGTTTTTACTGCCTGGAAGCCAGTAGTGCTCTAGTAAAGTGATGTTATTTTCCTCCTGAAGAACAATTCCTGATAAGCGTACTCTCTATAGTTAGAATTTCTATTTGCGAATGTCACAGGGCACTAAAATAATTCAATAAGAACATTCTGGCAATAAAATACATCTAATGCAAAAAGGCATCGACATATTTATGTAAATTGCTGATTGAAGAGTGATATGAACATGCTGTATAACACTGCAATTTCCCCTCCGTGTTGGTGGACTAGTGTCATATTTCTAGGAAGTAGGCAAAGTTAGTGGTGGGTTGTTTGTTGGGTGGTTTTTTTTTTCCCTTTGAGGTACTGTAAATATTGATTAACTTTTTTCTAAGGATAAGTCATGAGTCTTTCCAGCTTGAAAGTGATTTATTTTATGAAGATAATAAATGAAATAATATTGAATTACAGTAATTAATTAGTTCTTCCTTAAGCTGGCAGGATCTGGGTTTCTAGAAGTAAACAGATGGTGTTAGTTAGCTGAATGTTGTTAAGGTCACGTACATGATTTACACCTACTGCTTAACTTTGTTAGAAAGTGTTTGTTAAGATGACAGGAAAAGACATCCACTGAGAAGCAGTTGTGTTCTGTTGCCCGAGAGTTTGTGGGCTATACAATATTCATAACCTGTGAGGTAATTTATAAAGTGTTTACATTTACATTGCAAGGATCAGAGAAGCTTAGGGTGTAGATGTTCAAGTGATCCTGTGAGCCTCATTCATCCGGTCAGCAGAATGAAGTAATGAATTTCAATTTTTCTCATTTGTGGACCAAGTTTTAAAAACACTACTAATAAGAAAATCCACTGGAAGTCATTCCATATAGTCAATATCAGCCTGCTGTCAGCAGTACTGACTGTCTGCTGGCAGCTTTCTTTTATTGATTATCTTTGCTTAAGGCTCAGTAGTCCACTCACTATCCAGGTGGATTGCTGGCTGCATCCTGCATAACATTGGTTTAGTTCAGAATCATTAAAATGCAAGAGTGGACATGTGGAGTATATGGTGTAGATAGCAAAAGGAATTCATTATTATTTTTATTTTTATTATTATTATTAGTAGTAGTAGTAGTGTCCAATTAAAACATGTGAAGTGTTTTTTGTTACTCATTCTTAAGAGTGTTTTTTTTCTATTACAGGTGAAAAAAGCTCTTGCAATGTAATTGTTTTATTTTTGTGCCCTTGACCTTTAGTCTTGCTTTCTGCTCCTTGTATTCTAGAGTGTTTTTCAGTGCGTTGTTTAATGATCCGCACTGGTGATTCTTTTGGCCTGTTTTTGCCTGTTTAATTTACAGTTATTTTAAAATATATGCCCAGAATTTGCAGAGTATTGCTGTAAGATTCTGTTGTAGCTGCTGTAAAAATTAGGAGAGGACAATCCACAAGCTTCCTTAATACTTTGAAATGTAATTTTGTGGTTCCATGTTAATCTTGCAACACAGTTTTGATTTGATTCTCTTAACCACGAGACCTATGGGGAACTGAAAATTGTCAAGATGATATCTGAAAGCAATGAGGTTACAAGTACATTTTGCAGAATTGAAGCTATTTGTGATTGTGTGATAAGAGGAAAAATATTCATGGAATACCATTATATTCTTATATATCAGCAACATCCTATAAAACAAAATGAAACTTTGTTCTTGTCTATTCTGTCGCTGTAGGCTATGCGCACTGAGAGCCAGAGCAGTGCTCCATTACTGTCCTGTGATTGTCCGTACTGTTTAACTGCTAGCCAGCTCCTCGGTGTGGTTTTTGTCTCTGTGACCAGTTCTGATCCCAAGCAATGCCCAGATACGATTCTCGGAGTCAGTGCAAGCTGGGAGGTGTTTGTGGTAGGCACTGTGGGTACTGCTGTTGTGGAGCAGGGGTGAGAAAGGGAGAAAAAAGCTTCCCCATGGCGGTGAAAGGCCCTGTGCCGCTTGGCCCTGGGGCTGCAGGATGCTCCTGGCCCAGGTTATTTACAAAAATGAAACCCCCTCACTTGCCCTGTGTGGGAGTGCATCGCAGCATCTGCTATATGTGTACATACATCCAGGGAGATATTTGTCTCCTCTGCCATAGGCTGCTGTTCCTGGCCCAGTTTCCGTAGGCATGGTGGTGATGCAGTGTGCTGCTGTTGGTTCCCTCCAAAAGGCAGTTGGAAGTTAGTGCCACTTTCTCTGCGTTGACTGAATGGAGACTTGATGCCCCGGTTCAGTTCAGGCTCTAAAGCAGCACCGAGAGAGTATCTGATAAGGTGTTCTCAGCTTTGCTGCTTCTGAGGGCTGAATACTTGATGCGGGAGTGGGTAGCCTCTCCTGCCCTCTCACTTACTGAAGTAATCTGCTTGTCTCTCTTTCCATGTTTTTGTCTTTTTAATGATCTCAATTAGACCATCGCTGAGTTTATATGGGGTCCCATGCATATAGGAAACCCGAAAATTTTATTTTTCTCTTGAGCTTTTGGTCTCTTTGTATAAACTTGTCCCATTTGGATGCCGGTTCATGGAAAGGACAAACCTGTTCTTAGTTACAGAGGTTTTCATGGTTCTGTAATATCTTTGAATGTGTCTAGAAGCAGGATTGCTTAACTTTTTTTTTTTTTTTAATATTAGATCCTTCACGTTTGCATTTCTATTGGTCAGTTTTGACTGCTGGTATGCATCTGTATATTAGAGGAGAGGATAAAACTCTTCCAATGGAGTATCTTCTTTGGTGCCATCTTTTTGTCATGTTGTTTAAGCAGTTGTCATGACAAATTCAGATAGACAGTACTCTGTTGTCTCTGGTTCTCTCTCTTTTAATACTTTTTATTTCAGAGCACTGAAATAAAAATACATGGCTGGACAGCCAGGAATATGGGGTGGGGTTGTGACTTGAAGCTGTGATAACAATGTTTAATATAGAGTTGATCCAACCTCTCCAGGTGGAGTTGGTGAATATCGGAGGAACTGACATCGTTGATGGAAATCACAAGCTGACGCTGGGGCTGCTGTGGAGCATTATCTTGCACTGGCAGGTAAGAGGCTGCTGCAAGTTCTCTTCCTTTCCAGGAAGCGTGTGCATTGGTCTGCTGGGATTGTCACACGCCTTCCTGGGGTTTTGGTGGCGGAAAATACTACTTCTATTTTGGGCTGGTAAATAAAGGCAGGCCAGTGTTTGATTTCTGATCTCTGTCTATTGGCTGCCTCCTGTGACACATATTCTCATATGTGCTTAGTTGTACTCAGTCTTTCAGTTTAGTTCCTGCTGGTGTTAATTGCAGAGAGGCTTTCCAGGCTGAAGCATTGTATTTATGTTCCTTCCTCAAGGCTTTTATGTACTTCTGTTATCAGGGTTTTGGTTGTGGTTTGTTTTGGGTTTGTTTTTTTTTTACTATCTAGGTAACTGTGTTTGGGTTTGCATCTTATATGGTGCTTTGTAGGCTTGTTTCTCAGTCTTATAGATTGAATTGCTCCTGGTTTACCCACGTACCTGGGAGGATCATTGAATTCACTTGGAGGGACTTTGGCAGATGCTGATCCGTAGTGCCCAAACAGCAAATGACTTTTGTTGGCTGAGCAGATACCTTCTTCTTGCAGAAAACCTATGTAAGCTGTATTTTTGGGGTTGCCTTACTGGTGGAACCGCAGCATAAGGCAGTGAGAAATATTATACCCCACAGTGATGTGTCATTATTACATGAAGCATTGCTGGTTCTTGTAATCAGCAGAGTGCAAATATGGCCTGAATACTCCTATTCCCAAATTTCATGTGAGGACTTAGAGTTGGATTCATAGCATTTCATGGGAAAGACCCTTTCACGATTTGTGAAATAGCTTGGTTCAAAGGTTTTATAAGCAGGAAAAGGGGAGAACATGTCTGTAGGTGTTGTTGCTGCTATCTTGCAGGTGAAGGATGTCATGAAAAACATCATGTCAGATTTGCAGCAGACCAACAGCGAGAAGATCCTGCTGAGCTGGGTTCGGCAGTCCACAAGACCTTACAGTCAGGTCAATGTTCTGAACTTCACCACAAGCTGGACAGATGGACTCGCCTTTAATGCTGTCATTCACAGACACAAGTAAGTAGCAAACACCTTATCTTAGATCTAGTGAAGTAAGCAGCTTTTTTCCCCATGTCTTCATGGTGGTGCATTTGACAGCTTCTAGCCTGTTTTGGTGATTCATTGTTTGGGGTTTTTTTTGTTGTGGTAACAATAATAGTGGAGGGATCTTGCCAGTGCCTTGCAAAGGCTGAAGCCAAGGCAGCAGTGTAACGCTCTCAGTTCCTGCACATGCACGTACACACTTGCTAATTGAAGTGGATTTACATCTCACTTAGTATGCATTATACAGCGACTATACTGAACGGGGCTCTGCAGGGAGGGCTTGACCACCTCCTTCCCACGTACTTCCTTCCTCCTGCCCTCCCTCCTCTGCAAAGGGAAGCATTTCTTCAGTCAGAGTTTGCCATATCATTTTAGTAGGAAGGTACAGAAGCTTCAAAACAAAGGAATAAGACAGACTCTGGAGCTTTTCCTAGTTTTTGAATGTGTGTTGCTGGAAGAACAATGTATGCAGTTCTTTCAGGAGAACTGTTGAGCAGAAGAATCAAAGGGTAATAGAATACTTCAGGTATCTGTAGCGTATTCATTAGTTAGTTCATTATACTTTATAAGGAATGCTGTTAAAGCTTCTTTGCACAGATCTTTTGTGTTTCTGATTTTTGGAGAACTCTTTGGTAGTCTAAAGAAATCATTACAGACTCCTATGAAACTTACATACTGCTTCTTTCTTTTTTTATTTTTTTTTTTAATTTTTTTTGAGATCTGGGCAATCCGTTCTAACCTAGTGTACTTTAAATGAAGTCAGCTTATTGCTTCACAAGGTCTGACTGTTCTTAACCAAAAATAACCATTTCATGACGTGGTGGCAGCTGCCAGGCTCCCAGGAAGAGGGAATAAAAGGCTCAGGTAATGGTATGATAATATCTAGAATTTAATCAGACCTCCTGGCCACCAGATATCTGTCATGCAAATTCTTTACAAACACTCAGAATATTTATATCCAGCAAAGTGTTTGCAAAAGCATATGTTCACTTTGAACCTGCTTTTCTCTGCTCCGAAGTGCCCGTTTGGGCTGTGCTGACTGAAATACCAGGCTCTCTCGCAGGCTCGCTGGCTTCAGGACGGGTCTGCCCGGGGACACCTATGTGCCTTGTAGACCAGAGCTGGCTTCTGTCCAGCCTGGGTGGATGCATGGGGAGCGCCTGCACCACACTGACGGATCCTGAACATTTGGAAGGACTGTTCTGCAAAGGCAGAGCAATACTAGCAAAAGTCTCTCTGGAGATTCTCAGAAGTATTATCAAGTCCCTTCTCTGGATGGTGTGAGCTGTGCTGGTGGTTTTCATTCCGGCGTAATTTCCTGTAGTGGTGTAGCTCTGCTGCTGAATGCGTGAAGCTCTGTAATGGCGTGAGACACAAGTGAGACCTAGGTGACCTGAGGGAAGCAGAAGGAGAGAGGTGGGAAAATTGGCTTCAGGCTGTTTGCTGTCCTTATGCGTTGTGGCTATGTGCTTGGGCTTTGCGGGGTCTGAAGTCTGAGAGCTCTGCCCTTTTCAGAGCACTGGTAAAAGCCCCTGCTGAAAACTTAACCAGAGTATCTGTGCTTTCTTCTGACTTCCTAAAATTTCTCAGTTACCTGGCTCTGATGATCTCTGAGCCTTTTATTCCCTCTTCCTGAGAGAATGGCAGCTTTCACTGCATCAGAATTCAGCTTTGCTGTTCCTGGGCCCCAGTCCTTTAGCCAGGGAAACACCATTTTCCCCACATTTCCAAGAAATCTTGAGCTGGGTTTAAATTTAGGTTGGCTTTGAAAGAGGAGCTTTAAAAGGCACTTGCAAGGAACAAGGGGATTGGGGCAGGGTGCAGAAGTGGTAGGACAACAAAGATATTTAGCTTACCCAGACCGTAGTGCTTCCCTGCCTAAGGGCCATTTTCAATATTGCTTTTTTAATTTAGCTTAATATGACAGTATAGGAGAATTTTTGTGGATCCCATTAAGAGGTTTAGTAGCTCGCTTTTCTCTTTATGTATCTATCAACAATTGTTAGCATTTTTACCTCTTGGCTGTAATATCTAGTAACTTTGTAACACTTGCAGTACTTAATAAAATTATATGAGGTAATAGGACATTTAACATTTTACAGTGCTGGTCTCTTTCATTTCCTAATATTAGCTTAGCTCCTCTTTGAACTGACTTCTGCTCTTTGGTACAATTTTCTTGCTCATAGGTAAATACCTAGATTGCATTTTATTAAAATTTGTGTTATCGCAGCAGTGTGCAGGTAGTACATATACAATACACTTATTGCAATGTGTTTTTTCAAAGTAAGAGTTCCTGCTAAGGCTTTATGCGAATCCATGTGGTTGTCCTTGTTGCTCCTTGCATGGAGGTACAGTATTACACTAGCTTCTATCAGAGACCTTTGTGTATCTCTGTTTCCCACTCCCCCCCACCTTCCTTCTGGCTTTTTTGCTGCTCAGACTCTGCTGGCTTACAGCCTTCCTGTTTCACAGAGTGTAATGACTCGACAGATGTTAAAAGGTACTCTCAGGTCAATTTAGAACTGAATTAAGTATTAAAAGAATTAAAGGCAAGCCCATCGCTTCCTCCCCAAGTTCTATAGAGCACAGAATCAATAGCAGTGTGTTAATGAAAAGTCACCGTTACAGGGGAATGGGAAGTATTGTAATGGCTTGCCAGTCTTACAGCTGTGCTGCTGCAGCACAAGGCTGATGATGCCCTGTTGGTGTAGGTACCACTGCGTGGGGGCTCTGTTTGCTGAC